ATATATATATATATAATTGACTCAAGCGCTCATGCATGCATGCATGCATGTATTCATGAGCGCGTCTTTTTCTTCTTTGTTTTCTTCCTTTTTCGTTCGTCAGGTGCACCTGCGTTGAGGCTCGAGAGAGTTTCCGGCAGGTGGTGTTTGAAACGGCTGCATTTGGCAATCCTCTTTTGTCACGTCTTTGCACGGGAGCTCTGTTCACGTAGGTCAATTTAAGGGAGCTTACTCTCCTTCCTCTTGAATTGAATGAATGCATTTTCTAGCTATATGCACAGGTCGTTGTACATTTTCTACATTATCTATAGCCACACATTCATCAGCTTTTCCTCTATTTGAAGCCGTTCCTCTTGTAGTCATAGTGCCTAACTACTGGCTTTTGTAGTTGTATGATAGTAAATACTTCTGTAGTTGTACACACAAAGCGCTGAACGAGGGTTCAAGCCATTTACACTTTGATCAGAGGCAACTCGGCAGCAGATTACTGAACAAGAAGAAGGTAGATCGGGAGATTTGATGGCTGCTTGTTCCCCTTTTGTGCAGACACAGATACATGGGAAGGTGTTTTCTTCTTTCTGCGCAGCTGTAGTTTTCGAATCATGAGATTTCCTCGCTGCTTTTATTGTATTTATCTTCGACTTGCAAGAAACGAAAACGATGAAGATGTCCGGCGCTTTGTGTTTATTTCTCTGCTTTTGCAGGAAGGACGAGCTAGAGGCGCAGATGTTGTACTTGCAGTTGCAGCGAAAGGTGAATGAACGCCTTGAAAGCCAGACAGCGGCGAGCTTAGCCGAAGTGCAGCAGTTCGTCTATCAACATCTCATGCCCAGGCTTCTCTTCCTCCCCTTGGAAGGCCTTGTCTCTCTTTTGAATTCGCTTAGATTCTATGGGTGCGTCGTGTGCAAGCAATTGGTATGAACATGTAGCAAGCTTTAGCAACTAGCTGCATCGAATGGCTGCTAGCTGTCGTGACCGCAGCTAGGTAGCCAGCTAGCTAGCTCACAGATCCGTCCAGCCTTCAGCTTGCCGTCCGATTATTGTGTTTGCTTCCCTCTTGTGCTGAAAGCGAAGTGAAAGCAGTGCGGGATAACCCCCAAGTTCTAGCTCTTTCGCTTGTCTTGGTACTTCATTGCAGACTTCTTGTGGACGTCGTGACTGCAAAAGCCGCCAGTCTCGTCTCAAACTTCAGCCGATATGCATTGGGCAGGAGATCCAAATGGCCGTCGTTGGCGCCCGACTCCGCGCAGCAGCTCGCAGGCATTCAGAACACCCTGTGCGTCTAACAGTTATTATTATTATTATTATTATTATTATTATTATTATTATTATTATTATTATTATTATTATTA